GTGTCAAAGACAATGGGATGCAACAGCTCGCATTGGTGAAGGACAGCTAAGCGGGCGGAAAGAAAAAGCTTCCTGTTCTCAGGCCGCCTGGCTATTGTTATCGTCGATGGAGTCATGCCCTGACTGAGCAGTAACTGCATGCTTCAATTTTGCAGCAGTACGTGAAGAGTAGTTCTGAATCTGCTGTGTAGTCAAGAACTCTTCCAAGTCGAGGCGCCGCTCACCGTTGTCCCTCCTAGCATAGCGCATGTCCCTTGACACCTTCTCAGGGTCGGCTTTATGGCCACTCTCCTGTCCAATCCGGAACTTGTTATCGAGGTACTGACGTTGATTCTCGTTAAAACGGGTGGCCTTTTTCGTGCCTTTTAGAGCCCAGCCTTGCACCAAGGGAAATTCTGAAGAGACTTCAGTGGTGGTCGGGGCAGCTAATGTTAGCTCAATAGTGGAGCCCTCGTGAACTCTCTCAGCGTATGCCAATGTTAAGGTATCTAACAGGGTATACTTCTCTGAAACGAGCTTGCACTTCCCGATGAGCAAATGGCGCTTCAGGTTTTGATACTTCTGATAGGTGCGTTTGCATCCCTCAGCAGGACATGACAACAGCGAGCTTACATCCGCCCCTTCGCCATCCTCTTCTGCCTCCTCATCCGTGCATGCATGCAATTTTCAGCACATTTTAAGTCTGTTTATTTTCATTTATATCCATTGTCATTTCTTTCCTTATTAGGTACTGGTTTTCAATATTAGGTACTAGTCTTCTCGTTTAAATTTNACAACAGCGAGCTTGCATCTACCCCTTTGCCATCCTCTTCTGCCTCCTCATCCGTGCATGCATGCAGTTTTCAGCAGATTTCAAGTCTGTTTATTTTTATTTATATCCATTGTCATTTCTTTCCTTATTAGGTACTGGTTTTCAATATTAGGTACTAGTCTTCTCGTTTAAATTTATTGTAATGCAGCTAACCGTTTTATACTTCCTGATGATTTATGTAGAAGAATACGAAACGTTAAGTTCTGAAATCAAGGTTTTTACTACATGTGTTGTTTTGTAATATTTGTGACAGCAATTTGTTTTTTTTATTTTTACTCAAGCTGAAATGGCCGAAGAATAAGAGTTTCTACGATTAGATCTTTTTTGTTTAGTTGTAGTTGTTATCTTGTAATTGAGACCATGATATACTCTTTCCCTCTCCAATGTTGTATGCTTTCCGTACGGTGACACAGTCCTCCTGGTAGAAAAAGTTGTTCAAGCTACTGATTCTCTCAGTCTCAGCAGCCTGTCATCTCCTGTTGTGGCTTCTCGAGGACGCCAGTGACTAAGGTTACACGAACACCATTAATCTCTCCATGAGACAGCATGGCTTCTTTAAAGTCGTGCGCTGTGAGCACATCGTGGCTTTCGTTAATGTATTGTCGCACGTGAGTCTTGATGGTAGCAGCTTTCCTGTCGCAAGGGCCTTTGCCTCCTTGAGGGTCACTAAAGTCGACCCTTTTGACATGGATTCCAGCTGCTGTCCCCATTAGACGGCATGCTGACAGCATCGCCACACGGTGGTAGCACCCAGCGTTGTCTTGTCTAAGTGACGGGATGTTCCACTTTTAGTGACCTCAGTGTGTGTTGGAGAACTCGGACAACAGCATCAGCGTCCTGACTGGACTTTTCTAAAATGT